CTCTTCCGTAGTACTCTTCCGCCCTCTCAAAATCTCCTTTAACCTTCAGTAATTTCAAAGATATCAGAAGAAGATGGAAGAAATAAGAGAGGGTAACTGATGGTTAATTAGTTTTCCTTCAAAATTTCATTACCTCGTGTAAGAATCTACCGTAATTCCTCAAAAGAAGCGGATTACCAGGGTCCGACTTCAGCATCTCCTGGTAATAGGATCCGATCCTCGAATCCTCTTCACGATTCGCCTCATCGCCCCTTTTCCAGCCGCTACCACCGCCCATCTTCCTCCCATTTCCCATCCCCCCGCCTGAATGTACGAGCTCCTCTGCCTCCTTCGCGATTGCTGGTGAAATCGACATAACCTGTAGATTGACCTTCTCCTCCTCCTCCTCTTCCTGAAATCTCACCGGAGGAGACCATCTCGACCTGAACGGCGCAGATCGGTGCAGATCGGTGTCGGATCTAACCCTACGGAGCGGATTCGGCGTTCCTGTCGGCAACAGCAGCTCCCTCCTCTCCTTCACGTCGAGAGACATCCGCTTGCTCCAGCTGCGCCGGCGAGAATCTAGGCCGGTATCATGGACAAAAGAAGGTGATATTCCAGCGATCTCCATGCGTGGAGAGATGGATCCGCCGCTGATGACCATCGCTGCTTTCATCCTGTGCTTGGACTACCACTGCACTTCTCCCTCTCTCGCTGCAGTGAAGGAGCAGGCGTTATATATAGGTAGGCGTTAGTTGACGGCGTTACTTGGGGTGATGAACCGTTGATGGTAAAAATATCACGTGAGCTTCCACCTGGCGAAGTAGAGGTTTAATGCCACGTGGATTATTCACGGGAAGGAGGCTGTGGTTCACCACGTCACCCATGGAATGCAAAACGACTATTCTCCTCACTCTTCTAAATCCTGATTTACAGAACATTAGGTTTAAAACAAAAACAGAGGAAAAATATGATTTGAGAGTTATGGAAGATATGTAATAACCATACGATACTTCAGACGTCAAATCAAAAATTAGTTTGATTTATATTTTTGTTAAATGCTAAAAATATCAATAAATGGTATTTTTATCAAATACGCTTTTTAATGCTAGGCCGTAAGATTTTATTTTATTTTTTTTTTATTTGAAAAGATAAATAATTTATTTAGGTGATCTTTTGGTCAAAGTCGTCACCAATCTTCATAACGAGAATATATATATATTAAATATATTAAATATCATACAAATGTTTTTTTTTCCGTTAATTTTATTTTTTGCCAAAAATTCAAGTTCTCTAAAATTGGAATTGTAAAGAAATGATAATAGCAATTATTTTATGTAAAAAAA